CAAATCCAACCTAGCATCAACGAGCTGGCATATAATTGTAAAAGCTAAGCAAATTAATCCAGGTTGACTAATGTATTTTCAAAATAACTTGAAATTACAAAGTACATAAAATAAGACTTTCTACTATAATTTGTTCTGAAATACTCACATTTTTCACTATTTCATAATCAACTGAATTTTCTACTTGCTATATCTAAAACCAAGTTCATACATTACTAAATTTTTGAAATGCTACATGTCAACCTAAAATAAAAGGATTGGTCTCACCATGGGGTAAAAATGACAATACACAACTATTTGGATCAAAATGGTTCAGTTACCAACAAGACATGATTTAATATCCATATTCACAGAATGATACATATGCTCAAACTAATAGCACATTCATACTAGAAAGTTCATATAAAACTTGTGATATGTCAATTTTTTTCTAAACATGCATGCCTAATAAATTAATATCTGTTTGCTCAAATTTGAATAATGTTTTGAAACTGAATAAATTTTTAATATTTTTGGCAATACCTTTTCATAACACATTAAACTATTATATTTTTTCTTTAATTTTTGTGAAAACAGAATAAGATTGAAAGTTATCATTAATACCAACTTTCAGTTTTCACATTATTTGCACTATCAAGTTTCAACAGGATATATGAATCTATATATTTTTCCCATTAATTCAAAATAAAAAAAACAACTTGAAGAAGATAAACTTTATTTACCCTTAAAAATCATACACCATTACAGCAATCACAAAGTTTTTACTGTGGAAAAACAAATAAATACAGCACTCAGTTTCAAAAAATCATCCATCAATTACATCTTCCAAATAATTCTTCATAACTCAAGCAGACTGATTTCTTCTGCTTTGAACTCAGGATAAAATGATGATAAATAGTCCATGTCAATCCAGAACCACTCCTAACCTTGATCCAAAAGAAGATTACATTCTGAGCACTCTCAGATGATACTTTTCAATTCATCCACATGTTATTTGTAGAAAAATACAATAATATTTTACAAAAGGATTCACCTGGCTAATAAGCCAGGCTCAACACATTCAGTACTTCAGATGCTGACACAATATAACGAAGAATCTTCATATGAGGATAGGATGATTTACCTTATCTTTGTTACTAAAAGAAACTGGAAAAATACATTCTGGGAATGTCAGCACACATTAAGCAAGTTATAATGTACAGACAGAGGTAGCTACAAACTCCAAGTTTTCCAGGTTATTTTTCATGTGCTTTTCAAGTTCTTCAAATAATCCCTTTTGGATAATATCTACCATGTGCTCTTCATGATTCCCTGATATATATTATCATATGTTCCAGAAAAACTTCTTTTTTTGCCATTGCATCAACAGCTTGAATTGTGGGGATTATGACTGAAACCAATGGTCTCAGGGACTAGCTAGATTTAGGTAGCTTACTTGTCTTAACTTAGTACTACGTACACCAATATAAAGCCATAATGTTTTGTGAAACTGCCTGAGAAGTAATATTATCATCAGTAAAACATCCCTTAAACATTTTTTATAGTTGGATTTTCATATGACCTTTATTTTAAATAATAATGTTAATAAAAAAAAAGAAGTAACAGAAAGATTCATAGATGCTTCAAAACTCATTTCAATGAAATGATTTGCAATAACTTTGTCTCAGGAAAGGGAGGTATCAATAAATTTGTCCTGAATAATTAACCTCATACTAATTATTCTACCTGTCACTTCAACTTTAGTTTCACCTCATTTGTATCCATCATGCTCTCAAACTTACTATAGGGATCATCTTTTTTTTTAGTATGGAGCTTCTAAAAAAAAAGAGAGAGAGATTAAAGTATGTTGTTTAACAAAGCTAAGTACTGAATCTTTCAACAAAAAACAGTCTTGACTGCTTTTTGAAAATAGACCTTAACATTTCAGTTTGTTACATTGTATCTAAATAAGATAATAAAAATGTTGAAAAATATATTAAAAACTCAATTCAAAATTCCATTCTTTTTTCAAACACCAATATTCTAAAAAATTTTTCTATTTATAAAATTCCAGTAATTTCCATTATAAAATACACATAGAAAAAATACGCAATGAAACACAACAAAACTATTTCAGATGCAAGACAAATTAATGGGTTGTATAGTTAGTTTATTTATTTTGTACATGATTTATCATGCCGGAAATAAAAAAGTTTAGGACAGAAACTTTTCATTTGATTATGCATTATTCATAAACACATACAAATCAACTAATTCTAAATGTCATGAGAATTCAAGAGACAAAAAGTATACTATAATGACTGAACAAACGAAAATAAAAAAAGGAATATACAGAATTAAAATCAAAAATGAACCACAAGAAAGATAGATCAACTTGAATAAAAAATATGAAACAATTAAACAAAACACAGATATTTTAACATAGAAATTCTTCCAGAGACTGGTGGTAGATGTTTTATGTTGCATTTATTAGTTTTTTGTTTCAGATTCTTTCATTAAAAATAATTATTAATGAAAATAGGTATTTTTAATTATTTTATCCATTTCATATATTTTCATTTTGTTTTTTGGCCACTGTATTTTGTATGTAGCTGTTCAAATCTTCAAGTCATTTTTATTTTTTTTTACCATAATGACAAACTTTAGTTTGTGATATTGAGACAATAAATAAATAATTCATTAAATTATTTTTACCACAGTAATAACATAAAAAAATGTTGTACCTACAGGATTTCAGAGATAAAAAAAACTTGCATAAATCTTGTTATTTGGAATGTCGTTTTGTACATATGTTAAATACCAAATTCTGTGACTCATTTCAAATATTTAAAGAACTATAGCACAGAGTGCACATTTACAAACACTAGAAACAAAGAATACCATGATTTGAAACTTTTAATATAAATAAAATACAGAAATCTACAAGCAAATGCTTAAAAATATCATCAACATCCCATTGAACTTTAAGTAAAAAAAACTGTTTAATCTGTTCTTTTATACACATCTCCTAATACAAAAAGTGATATGATAACTCAAGGTTTAACAATACAAAATTCAAACTTGTTCATTAGGAAAAAACAAACTTTCTTACCATACTGTCATCAGGTATTACCATAGCAGGTTTTGACACAGCTTTCAGAGGTTGTCCACATCTTCTACACCAGATGTCTAAAACACATGGAAAATAACCACAAAGCCATAAACAATAATGTAATTCATATCTTTTGTTTACAATGGTTTTATAGGTAAAAGATGTGTTCACTTTTCAAAATTTCTATTAAAATAAGTAGTGATAACATTCTATAAGCAGTACAAGTACTTAGGGAGTACTCATTCCAACTGTAGTGTAAGATTAATTAAAATCATGGGTAAATAATAAAATACTTATAATAATATTGGCAGAACTTTGATGGAAAATAATTCCAGTTTTATGAAAGATGTTTAAAATAACATGTTATCTCTCTAGACAAGTATGCTTTCATACACACAAAAAGAATGATGCTCAATAAATCTTCAGACTTGAGAACACCACTGTCAAGCAGTGTAGAGTAGTACCACCAACCTCATTTAAACCATTGTTTACATTAGAAGAGTCCATGCTTGTATCAGCAAACTCCTTTACAAAATTTTCCCTTGACTGTGTAGAAGTATTAAGATTGCTTCCAGCAACAGATTTTGTTTCTAATCCACTTATCTAAAGGATGAAACAAATCTTACTATGCTAGTTAGAATGAATAACACTGCTGATAACAGAATAAACAGTTAGGGTTAATTATAGAAACAACATAATAGCAAAATCAGCATTAACTTACAAAAGAGTATACTATGATTTTCTGATAAATAAAAAACTGTATATAAAACTAGCTCAACTTTGTTCATTGCTGTTTTCCTCACAATTATGTGATACTCGGAGCATAATAATTAACATAAAAGTTACACTTAAAACCCCATGCTGTCTTAAAAAATCTTACCTGGAAGTTTTTAGGGCTTTCTTCAGGTTTACTAGTATATTTTTCCAGAAATGGTACACAGGAATCCTGGCAATTGTTTCCTGCAGTTATATTGTTTAAGTTTTCACAGTGAAATCTTTTGATTTCAGAGTTTAAATCTGAAGATTCTAGAGATCTTTTCAGTCCCGAGGTAACCGAAGAACTAACAAAGTCTGGCACACCCATCTGAAATATGGATCACCTTTTCATACTTCAACATTCCACAATGTATATTATAAACCAAGAATGTCTTTTGATACACTTCTTACAATATGTAAATTCATAAAGTGATTAGCAAGAGATTCAAATTATTTTCCATTAATTCTTCCTCCTGTTATGTTTTATGCACATAAAAAGTTTCTTGGGTTTTAAGTTAATATACACACCATGTATATAAATAACATTAAAAAAATTTTGTTTTAAAATATTCACACAAAACTACACCAGGGCTATCTATTCCTAATTTTGAACTAACAGACTAGAAGGAAGGCAGCTAATCAACAGCACCAATGCCAATTCTAACTGAATGTGACACTTTATTGTCACTGTTATAATTGAACTTACAGCCCCAAATTGCAAATCATTGATCCACATTTATGTTACAATTTAGCTTATGAAAGAAGTCACATTTTTCTCTTTGGTTATCAATCATAATTTTTCCAAGCTGTTTATCGAAGTCATTTTTTGAATGTAAACATATTATGAATCATATTTCTACTTTAAACTATTTTATGTTAACAAAAGTATAAATTTGAATGAAAACTTAGAGCACAAGCTATTTACCCAAAAATAAACTATTACAAGAACATACCATTCCTGTAGTGTTGACTGCTATCATGAAACAATTAATTTCTCAGTATAGCTGAATGATATAAAATTTTACTTTGTGTATACAGCTTCTAAAAGTGAAGGTCAGTAAATATTTTGTTAGTTTCTCTTGCTGACTTACTTTGGTTGACCTACTTAGAGTAGGATTGGTTTAATATTTTTTAAATTTTTTTATAGAATCAAATTATTTCTGGAATTTGATTACTTATTATTCATAATTATTACATGGACAAAGTCCCAGTAGGTAAAATAACTTTGTAGTTTTTTTTTTTGTGTGTACCTACAAATCCGATGGAAATAGAATTTTATAGTAGACAAAAGCATTTTTAGAATTTCTCTCTTCCAAAGAAAGAGAATCAATGAATGAAATACATTGCTAACTAGACACCTTTTAATATCACAAAAACAGATTTGTGCATGAAGAAAACAAGTATTTCTTACCTACTATTTACAAAACAAAAACTATTGCATATCATTCTTACAAAAGAAAAAGAACCATGTATAAAGTATAAAACAAGAGCTGTTTAAGTAAGAAACGTCTTACACCAGGTGGTGTGATGAAATATTACAACAAGAACTTCTAATAAGTTTTACCAAATTACTAAATTTATCATAATGTTTTAGCATACTTTCTAGACTAAAAATAACTCATAATTGCTGATTTGCTGACTGATAGAGACAATGCATAAGGCATGCTTTTTATTTATTATCAGTTACATAAGAAAAAAAGCAAGACAAAAGAAGTACATTATTTTACAAATTTATTTACTGAAAAATAAACAAAATTCCTGCATATTATAAATATGTTTTTATACACTGCCTATATAACATGAATACATATAAAAATAAAGTTTATTTATAAAAAACCCACACTTGATCTGTTATGCATTTTAACTGATGGTGTTTTGGTATCCAATGTGTGAGCAAGATCAGAAACAGACTGATTCTGTTGAGATGTATTATTGGAGTCTTCATTAAATTCTGGTATAGGGGTGGTCTTCAGGCTGTTCTCAGGTGGTGTGTTAGAAAACAAGGGCTAAATAACAAATAACTGATTCAGTTTTGTAATAAATAAATTTGTCTTTTATTTTTTTCAAATAAAATTGACTCATTTCAAATTGGTGAAATAACTTTAGTAAAACAACATTTAAAAATTTTAAATATGATCATTTTTCCAACAGAAAAACACTCAAACTCCAAAAAGTTTTCAAAAAGAAAAAAAAAGGAAATAAGTAACATTGGGTTATGATGGAAATAAAATATAACCCTAATGAATCTTAAAAAACTTTAATAATAGTGAAACTTAAACAGACAAGAAAAATTAAAAAAGAGCTGGATTTCTTAAATAAGCAGTCTTCCAAAAAAAAAAAATAATAATAATTTAATAGTATGGTGAGACAAATAAACCATTTTCTTTATTAACTGTCTAATAATTGATTATTCGTAAAACCTAATTTTATGTAAAAATTAGAAGGCATAATTATCAATAAAATATATTATAATACATTAGAATTTTCAACACAGATAATCAACTTCAACCATTAATAGTATCCTATATGTATACAAGTTACACAATGAAATATTTTTGTCAAATCTTTAACACTTAAAAATAATAATAATCCTTTATTAAAAAATTACCAAAATATTAACAGTTCATAACAGTATTGAAATTTTCTAGTTTAACACCATAAGATGAAACTTTAAAAACATCAATGGAAAATTTTAATTTTTTTAATGCCACTAAAATACAAAGTGCTCAAAATAGTATTCCACTAATATATCTTATGAATTGTTGTGATTTATTACATGATATTAGCAAGCTTCAGAGAAATAAGAACTTTCAAGTAATTTCATAAGGTCGAAACCTTTTAGATAAAATAGAAACATAACAGAAAACACATTGAAAATATCCACATAAAAATATAAGCTCAGACATCTCCATAATTACCATGTTGTGGGCCTTCTTTTGTTTCACTAAAATACTTGATGGTAGGTATCTGCTCAATTCTTTCCTAAAAACACATCAAAGATTATGCATCAACTGCACAGCTTTCAATTTTAATTGCAAAAATATTCTTTTAGTTTTTATTACCATATTGGGGTAAGCTCTACATACATCTATAACAAATAAAAACTCTGACTATGCAGAACATCCAACAAAACGTGAACCAAAAACTTCAATTAACGTTACATAAAGGTAAAGGAAATGGCTTGGAATAAACAGAAAAAATTTGATCAGGAACAAAGACTTCAGCAAGAATCAAAATTTCACCCATATAAGATATTTGAAAATGAGAAAAATCCAAACTCAGTAAGTTATAGTTTTATACCATGTTATGAATCTGAAAACACACTTAATTAAGTCCTATGCTAAAGTTAATTGTCCATTGAAAAATAGTAGATTTAATAATCTACACTGTTAGTAAAGTTTTGATGCTGTTAAGCTTCACTTATAATGAAGCATCCCCAATTAATTGTTACAGCAGATATTTTCTATAGATATAGATATTACTTGATCAACAACAATGGAGTCAAAAGCTCACCAAAAATATATCTGAGCTCAAGATATGTCCAAAAATCTCTACTTCATAACTTAACTATCAACTGACTCATGCTAGCTAACCTCAGTTATGATAACTGTATTGAAAGTTTTATTTAGATTCCTATTTTCCTACTTTGTTCTTCATTGGTTTAGGTTATCAGAAGTTCTTAATTTTAAAGAAACTAACTATTAAAGAAAGGGATTTTATTGTTACCATTTTTCTCTAGCTAGTAGTTTAACATCAGCCCAGAACCAAAGGTGAAAGTAAAATGAGAAATTTAAATTTAGTGTTTGTTTTAAAGCAAAGCCACATTGGGCTATCTATTATGTTTACTGCAGAGAATCAAACTCAGGATTTTAGTGTTCTAAGTCCATAAACTTATTGCCATTCCATTGTAAAAAAAAACAAACAGTTCAGACATTTTTAATTGTGATTTAATACAATACTAAAACAAGTTAAGAGATAGTCTCAATTTCCTGCTTTCTAGTTATGATAAGTTGTAACTATCATAATATTAAATAACATCAATGGTACCTCCAAGTTCATTTTTATGCACACCAAGCATCAAATAACCAGTACTGTGATGTCACATGCAAGTAACTGTTATTGGAGCCAACATCCATAAATGGTCATTTGAAACTTCAGACTCTACAACCCACCATATGATCAGAAAATAATTAGTAAGGAGTATGACCAACTCAAACATTAATGCAAGTTACACATCAAAGTGATATGTTTAAAATGAGTGAATTAATATATTTATAAAAGTTTAATCAGATTCATCCAATGAGCATGATGGTTAATCCAATCACTTATTCCAGAAAGTCTCCCCGTTGGAAGCACGTTATCATCCATTAAAAAAAAGTTTTGACCAATTGCATCTTCATGTAACACTAATGTTTTTTAGAACTATATACCAAAGTCATAAGGCATTTATAGTACTATGTTATAGCACACAGAGATCAGTGTGGCCACCAATACTGATTCCAGTTCACACCAATATGATATCTTTGTCAAATGCTTGTTTTTCCGACATGAAAGTGGAGATGAATTTAATCCCAGCCACTATTTAAATGTGTACACATCTAATATCTGGCTGAAATATGATTCAGCTGTGAACAAAGCATTTGTCCAAATAATTTGGCTAATTCACATACCCTTGATACTGCTGAAGACTAACGGTTAAATAGCTGGATGAAACAAAACTGGTGGTATGACAAACTGGCAAAAATAAAATACAAATTTTATATTGCTGAAAAACATTCTACACGTACTTCTTTGGTTTCACACAAAAATACAATTTGCTTTGATGTCTGTACAATTATAGAGCATGTATGTTTCACTTCAGGTCACTGCCCTTGTTCTCTAGAAACACCAACCAATGAAGTGCACATATTTAATCCCATAACTTGTAGTCTGACACTTGTTTTGCATAAAAGATAACTCTTATGATAACTCGTATTTAATAAAATTTATTACACCTTATCACAGTAAAAATACAGAAAACTCTGATGATTATTTTGAGCAACGTATTTCATACATTTAGTAGATTTTTTGCTAAAATCGTTAAATGATTTTTATGATCAGCATGTATTTCTTCCCGAAAGCATTTAAAGAAATTTCAAATATAAATTATTTTGTTAAAATATTTTGTTTTTTTTTACCGTTTCACATGTTTAGCTTCTATCTTCATTCCAGGCTTGTACAGGTTTATCTGTGTTGCTTGTCGCATGACTGAAACAAACAATACTGGATACAATTTCAGGTTAATCATAACTTTATTATGATAACAATGTTGAGAGAAGTTTAAGTTCATGTTATGAATACTCAAACGACTAAAAACCTGGAGAAACCCTCCTAAATATTCTGATGAAGGTGAAACAATCCACAAACAAACTAAAACAAAAAGATATAATCTACAAATCCTGTGTTCATGTAGAAATACATACACTAGAGAAACAGGTTGAACCATGGAACAAAGACTAAAACAACACAGGGATGAAATTAAGCCTGACACATCTGGGCAAAACAGCACTGGCAGAATATAATTACAAAAACAAGCCATATAAACTGGAAACAGCATTAAATTTTGGACATGTCTCACCATTGGAAAACTAAAGACTCCCTTTTTCATCAAATCCCACCAATTTACACTACACCAAGACCACTAATTTGACATCAGTAACTCTAGACATCCTCTCTCACCAAACTACACAGAATGAATGATGGCATCATACAATGCACATTCACACAGAGAGACAAGTACACTAGAGTGAACTCTATCATAGAACTACACTAACAAACAAAAAGATGCTACATGGTTAACAACTAACCTGAAGAAGGCCTCAGTATAGAAGCAGAAATGTTTCACTTTAGAAACAGGCAGGAGCAGTCCATTACACCCAAAACTTTATCACTTATACACTATTTAAAATACCCTTGAAACAACAAATCAGTTTATTGTCAAAGATATGTTCCAAGAACTTTATCTCCAACACTAAACATGGAGCTTGGGATTGCAGTGCAATCCCCATTGGCAGCAAAAAATGTGTGCAAATGGTTTTAAGAAATTAAAATTTAAAACTATTTGCTATGGTCCACTTATATAATTTTTAGGACAATTTGGGACTGCTGCTCAATGTACCATATATTTGAGAACTGACAAAAAACCTGAAAGACACTGATAGAAAGGCTATTTGCAACTGCAGGAGGAAGTTTTTCAGTAGTGGAAATGATTTCAATACTGAAATGTGTGACACTCAAGATAGCCCTGAGATTATCGGAGTATGTGTGAAAGACTAGGATAGTATTGATCTTATACATATTTAGAATGACCTCTCTGCAAAAATGTTATGAATAAAAATGGGTAAGTGGCCACACAACCCATAAGAATGGAGATTCCATAAAACATCAAAAAATACAGAAAGAAGATGCTTCCTACTGAGAAAGGCTTTCTTTATTGCCTATTCAAGTCAAATCAAGTGATTCATGGTGGATTGCCCTATGAAAACCACAATGGGTGTTTGATTTTAGATGTGTGACAACTACATGTGGCCAGTTCTTTAAATGGTCATGAAGCACAACACATCCACATATATGAAAGTCAATTATTTGTGCACAGAAAGTGAAAGAGCTGTGAATACTTTATATTTTTCTACTGCAAATCACTTGGTTACTCTTTCCAGAAATTTTGTTCTTCATAGAAGGTGTATGATTGGCTGCTTTGTAACAAGATACAAAAAATTAGTTACTGCTGCTGCACATCACTGTGTAATTTTAATGCTTCGCTGTTGTCTGGTCTTAGAGAGTTTTATGTCAAATGAAATTTATACAGTTTTTACAATCAACAAAACTGTATATGTGAATGTTTTCAGAGGAGATTTTAATGGACTTAGAAAATAGGTTTCTCAATCCATTATTTTATGTGCCTTGGAACTTTCCTAAAATCTGTAGAAATATGCTAATCCATGGAAAATACAAGTCTGTTGATTTGAGGAATCAAACAACACAAACATTAACCATCTTTCTCAAAATTTTACATAGGCAGCTAGTCAAACCAACAGATCTTCAGTTAAAAGGAATCCTGGGATCTTTCCAGAACCATAACAAGATCAAGAAGCAGGATAGGGATGGCATTGCATCTCAAAATGCACATCATTTGTTCCAACTGAGATTGTGCCAGACTGGTGAAGAGCATTTTTAAGTTACACCAAAGTAAGCATAGACCAAAGAGCCACATTAAGATGTTTTGGATTGTCTAAACCACTGATTGTGAAAACATCAAAGGGGTTTGAAATATATGGCCTAACTCTGCAATTCAAATCAACCTGCCTTGAGATTGGCAGGTGGGTGTGTTGATGTAAATTTCAAAATTAAAACCCTACTTAGCTCTATACCAGCATGAATAGTCAAAAGAGAAATATTGGCTGAAGCAGCTGGGTGTCTGGGTGCCACATCCAGGGTGTAGCCCAACGAGGAAGGAAGGCAAAGCTACTGAAGATCCTCCATTTTCAACAAATTAGAATAAACTTTAATAGCTTAGAATGAAAAACTTAATATAGTTTAATTTTACTCCATGCATATACCTAAGATTAACATATGTTTAGAGCAAAATTATCAAAGCTTAAATGTCTTCTGATAGCTGTTAAGTGTTCCACTGTTTTTTCAAGCAATGCATATTGAAAATTATTTTTACACCCTTGTCAGCTTCATCATTTCTTTTGATAACTTCTCTCATCAATTTTTCTCATTTTGTCACTTAAAATGTACATTTTCCTACTGCCATTGAAACAATGAAAACAATGACTGTATTTGTAAAAATGACAGCATCTGGATATTGTCACAAGGGACAGCCAAACAAATTTCATTTTGCTGACACTTGACTATCTTAACCTAACCTCAGTTATCATTGGATGGATATTATGACAACTGACCAATCATAAACACGTTACACTAGGAAAGTAGAAAGAACAAAACAATACAGATTTGACCCACATGTTCTACTTATCAAATGACAATCTACATTACTAAACCCCTCTACCGACTTTTCTCCTCAATTTTACATGGATCATGAGTTCACACCGGATAGTAAAAAAGGCAGATATGATTGATGGAAAATTCTCATATTTGCATATATACCATATTTCCAAATGGAGATTTGCTTAATAGCTGAAATATCCTGATTGAATAAGGATATCCTGCTTGACAATAACTTCTCTTGACTTATTCAAAGTACTGTAGGTGGTTATCTCAACAGGTATTTTACCAACAGCTTTCAACTTTAAAAGGACTTCACTGTCCTACGGTCATGATGTTTCAACCGGCAGACCACGGATTTTAACTTGCTTACTGAACTTAAAAAGTTGCCAAACCCCTCTAAGCTCTTTGGTTAGAAAAAAGAAAAGAGATGTTTTTGATAATGAATGTAGAATCAGATATCAGGATATAACATTTGTAGGAGATGATGATAGTGTGCCTACAGAGCCATCTATATGTGGTCATTTAGTTGTTTTTTTTATCATTTGAGCCATAAGAAAAAATACAAATTCAGTACTCACTGGCTTTAGCCACCATGAAGTCCTCCAAGGGACATTCTAGTATTTCTCAGACACTATACCTAAACATTAGGACCAAACACCTGATACAGGAACTCAGATGCCACTAACCACAATTAACCAACTAACAGGAGTGGCAAGAGTGTGTGTGTATGAACGACCACAAGGTCTCCTACCTATAGGAATTCAAGGCTAAAATAGTGTTGTAACTACCAAAATCCTCTCCTCCCTTTCACAACTGGACGAAAAATGGCAAACATAGGGGTGGATGTTTGAATCCCAGAGAAGGTAAGCTCTGGAAGATCCCACCACCACAAAAACGAATCCACAATATGAAAACATTTAAAAAGATTTTGTAGGTATGGTTCTTGTACAAACCCATAATGTACTATAAAGATCACCTTATAGTGTTGAATACTATGCCTGGTTTAGTAATATTTAGAACTTGTTTGAACATGAGAAAAGTTATTTTTTATTGGTGAAAGTATTATTTCTTTAAAATAGTTAACATTTTATTATATAAAATACACTTTCCAGAATAGCGGGTTTCATCAAAGCAATATACAAAATAGACTGTCAATGTTAAGCCTGAAAAAAAAAATGCAAAAAAAACTACTTTTACATTACCTCAATATAAAAAGTTTTCTTTGTTTTGTTTTTTATTAAGTACAAAGCTACACAATGGACTATCTATGCTGCACCCACCACAGGTACTGAAACCTGATTTTCAGCTTTATAAGTCCTCAGACTTAATGTTGAGCCACTGTGGAGCCAGTGTAAAAGCATTCCCAAAACTCACCCGTGTCAGTGAAAGACTGAATATCAGAGGTGAGATCCACGTTGAGATTTTCTGTCTTGGCAAATTGAAGTCCAATAAACCACAAGGACTGAAACGTATCTCTAAACCCAAAAAACAAATCTTACATTCACTAACAGATTTAAAAAGCTACTTACAGAAGAAGTGCATTTCTTAAAATATATCTTAAAATTATTTGTTACTTACAATCATAACACATAAAAACAATATTACTAGTCAGTCACTCAACCCTTTCTTGGTTATGGGACATTAAAACAATAGTACTTAGATGTCAATGACTGATGTTACATGCTTTTGATATACTTCCTTATATAATGACAAGCATCCAATAAAATCAAATATAAATCCTGATCTTAACTTTTTGAAATTTTAACATTTTTAATAAAAACAAAAGATGAATTGCAGACAAAAATTTAATCTTGGAAATTATTATATAGCAATTCTATTGAAACATTTAAAACAAAATATATTAGATAACCAAAAAACAAGTTGAAGTCAATTGACAAAATATCAAAAGCAGTTAAACACATGGTTGAGTATGTTACTGTAAAATTACAAGCAGAAACTCCACCCTACAGGCAGCAGTTTGTGCTAGTAATTACTAATTGTAGTATTCATACCTCATTGAAAAAAAAAATAGAAAAAGTGAACATTTTCTAAAAAAAAAGGATTTTTCTGGGAAGAACTACATGGGAAAAGTGTTCAGATTGTGCTGATATAAACTGTTTTTATATATTAAAAAGTGGTACCCTTTATTGAAAAAATAACATTTTTTTAAAAACTCCAATTTTTAGTACTATATTTACAAATTACATCAATAAAAATATAATCAAACCCTAAGGTAAAGTCATAGTGAAAGTCGTGTTCTTGTTGTGATGAGAGTACTTTTATTTAAAATTGAGTTCTATGATAAAGAAATGGTTATTTTTTTCTCTGAATCTTGAATACCCAATAGATGGCGCTACATTGTATTTATTACTCCAATCACCTACATAGTTAAATACATATATACACTTATGTCCATCATAGTAAGACTTGATCCTCACCACATCATAACAGACCATGTTGCCATGTATGGTCAGGCCCTATCTTACAATTGCACATCTTGACAATAGCCCTGCAACAAGTTTCCACTTCAAAAGACTCCATCATAAGGCTGTTCTGGCCACAGAAACTATTTTCTATAATACACCTATTGTCCATGGATGACAGTTCTTCAATGTCTGTTTCAATAGTCTGATCACATAAGAATTCATAAGCAATGCATTTGGTGACTTAACCAATATGTCTTCATATGGAATAGCATGAATACCTGTTTTATTCACCAGCTGCTTGAGGTATGCAATTTTGGTGAGCCCATACCATTGATCTAGTTTCGATATTTAAGTCCTTCTCAATTATGTTGCATACTGATCATGCAACAAGTATATGACTTTGCTACTGACCTTTGTGTTTGTAGATTCTGACTTATTACAAGACACCACACTTTCCTTTACCACAACTTGATGCAAGCATCTTTCTGGAAAGGTTTGGTACTTCATGTTGATTCATATTTCTTTGTTTTCCAATGCCATTAAGTACAAAGGATATATCTCCTTATTGGAAATTCTAAATTAGCTGAACTTAACACATCGTTATAACCTGATCATATAACATTTTGTATTAGAATGGGCTGTTACATACCCTTCCAAATATGATCCATTTACAGCAGCATCACATTATTTACAAAATTCTAAACATGTCAATATGTAGTTCTGATACATGCCATATCACAGCAACTATATAATGGCTGTTGTTGTCTCATGACTTGCTGATTGACATGCTAAAAGTATTGTATATAATGTACTCAACCCTGTACATGTTATAAATATTATAATAAAACGTCCAAAAGCTAGAAATATCAAACAAATTTTACAATCAAAATATTAAAGTCCATCAATACTAATGGAAGAAAAACAAAATTCCACTTTCAAGATATATGGTTCATTATGCAAAATGAGGTGAAAGCTCCCATTGTATGAAATAAGTTGTCTACAAAATTTGAAAAAAAAACAAACAAAAAACAATTTACATCTTTAAAATTTTCATGGTTGATATTTTGTTTTTGAATAATAGATCTAAACTATCAAAAATTATGTTATTATTGTTAAAGTCAAGAAATGTACTGGTAAGTATTTCCAGTTGGGACTATGTTCCAAAATTACCTGATCTACCTCATACAAATCAGAGAATACCAAATTTTAATTTATTTTGTTTTTATCACATAACATATTAACATGAAAAATATTTGGAACAATTCAGCAATATTAACTTTCTTCACTTAAAGAGTAATGATAACAAGAGAACAGTACTTACGCCTCTGATTCTGAAGAGCAGTGAGATTCAGGGTTGATATGCGCTAATGCTATAGATGGGTGTTTTTCGAGGTTGTTAATAAGTATACGAATCTTGGATTCCACTAAACCATGCCTACAATACATCAAATCTGAATATTAGAATTTTTAGACTGAAGAAAACATTTATTTTAAGGAAGCACTGTAAACCTTACAAACTCAAAGTGAATACAAAATTATTAAAATAAACAACTTACTAAGTCATTTCGTTTTCTAACATAATCCGAGCAAACATTTTGTTTGCTTTTTTGTCAGGCAAGAAACCTTATAAAAATACTGGTTAACTACATGAACTGGACAACAAAAATAAAAATTGTTCAGTATTTTTTTTTCTAGTCCACAATTATTTAAACAATGTATTTTGAATAAGATCAGAATGTATATTCTTTTTATCTACCAAAACGAAAATTAATTACGAAATTTTTTACATATTAAAAATTTTTAGCATTAAACTTAACTATAAAAATACAGAGGTGAGACTGAGCTTGCAGAGTAGCCTGTCTTAAATCATAAGATTCTACAGTATATATTTACATATACACAAGGTGATTTATAGTTCACACAACACTATCAGAGCATCGCAAAAAATAGAAAGTACATGGAGGATGACATGCAAAGGAAAAAAAAAAGTTTATGACTGACACTCCATAAAGCACAATTTGGCCACTAGAGGGTTGTTCAGTATTGCCAACTGCTATACTTCTAGTGTGAAGGCAATGTTACACTGTTAAATCTAGTTGTTGTTGATTTTGGAATTGTGCTTATGGCAGGGTTCTTACTAGCAACATTAGTAGCTACTGTAGCAAATGTTACATTCATTTTCATTTTACAGCAAACTTAGCTCAGTGCACTTTGCAAGTACAAGGTTTGACATTTTTACAATGTGTCATTTTCCTGCAAATATTAAGAAATTATAGGCATCCATCCTCTTGAGACCTGAATAACACTCTGGTGGACAAACAGTGTCTCTGTCACAGATACGTTTATTTTACACATCATCCACAACATACCCTCCAGTTTTAATGATACTCTAACATTATGACTCACCCATTATAAGATATTATGCTTTCTGTTTAGAGTATATTGAAATACAGTAATCTGGAAACCCATTTCAACACTCAAGTTATTCATTGAATAACAGCACAAGCAATGGTGATTTGGAAATTCAACATATGTCTGTGGAATTTGAATAATTTAGAAATAAATAAAACTAATTTTCAAAAACGGCAAAGTTTATGCTGGTAAAGGAATATAAAGTATTGAAATAAATGAGCTTTAACACAGCTTTACTATATTAATATTCTACGTTTTACAGCAATTAAATCATAATTTCAATAAATCTGAAAGAATTTAAGGGGTTATTACTTATTACTTCCACTTTTATGTTGCACAACTGAGCCTGCTTTGTTTCGTAGACTCAAGTTTAATTCAGAACAAACCATTTTATATGTAATTTCACACTATCTCACCATGTAATGACATATATTCATTACTAGTATAAAAGCCCTTCAAAAATAATGGGCAACCATAGCCTACCAAATTTGAATTCTCTAATATGCATTTGCAACGTTGCTGCTCGTAAACAAACATTAAAAAAATAAAGAGCCTTCTAGCTTCGGGAAACCAAAGCCTATCAAGAGCAATATCTCCTTTACCTAAAGAGTGTCTCTTCCCAGCATTTATTGATCACAGTTATTTTCTTATCACATCAATTGCATTGTTGCAATAGTTCTTTTAAAACCAGATTTCTTGTAAATACTCGATCATCGTTAAAAACAAATGACAAATTAATTTCACTCGGTGTTAAATAAATCCTTGGTATAAAAACTCCCTCCTTCATAGGCTTTTATATAGCAGAAAAAGTTCCTAAATTTAGGAGTTATTTATGCCTATGATAGTAATTGATTTCAACTAAAATGGGAATGGGTAATCAAAAGAAGAAGTATTATAGGAGAAAAATGGAATTGGACTCATGTAACTCACAAAATTCGGAGAAATCACATGTGATGGAATGACTGACCCATCAACACTTGGCTTTTATGATTATGATTTTATTGCTTTCACATTCAAAAAACAGATTTTCATAAGGATTTAGCTTTAGTTTGAGTTTTATCATTGGGATATTTAGCACTTATTTTGCTTAATTCTGGAAAAAGTTTTAATTGCAACTCAATCACCTTGATCCGGATTTTTATGACAAAATTCACAGGTAAAAAACAAAAATATTAATAGTGAATCACAATTTTATAGATTTGATTGCTAAATTGTTAGTCTTTGATCATTTATTCTGTAAGAAGTATCACAAATACAACTTAAAATTTGATTAAATGGATAAGTTAAAATTATAAAATGTTTATTGTATACAAAGAGCTGTTTTAGTTCCATTTTTACTGTTTATTAAAATGTTTAAATTGATTTCAATAGCAGAAACGTCCCCCTATGTGCAGCTGTTTGTGCTAGTAAATACTAATCGTTGTATTCATATCCGATTGAAAAAAATTTAGAAAAAGTGAACATTTTTTATATATATATAAAAATTTTCCTGGGAAGTACTGCACAGGAAAAGTGTTCGGATTGTGCTCTTTAGTCATATGAAACTCATTACATCAAAATGATTTATCATACAGAGCTCAAAATTTTCATAAATTTTACTGATATAAACTGTAATGTTTTTATATAATAAAAGTGGTACCGTTTGTTGAAAAAATATTTTTTTTTAAGAACTCCAGTTTCTCAGTACTACATTTAAAAGTTAAATCAATAAAGATATAATTAAACCCTCACATACAGTCCTGGTGAAAGCTGTGTTCTTGTTGTGAGGAGAGTGCTTTTAATTAATATTGTGTTCTATTACAAAGAAATTGTTGTTTCACATACCACAGTTATTTTTCTAAATGTCTAAATCTTGAATAACCAAAGTGTGAAATTTTTTTATGGAATTTTGTTTGTGGTGCCATTCAATATAGGTGCAGGAGTTTTGGTTAAATACATAGATACTGAGATACACACTACATCCATTGTAGTAACATAGCTTCTTAAATGTAATACAGAATAAATTTAAAACTATTTACATGAAAAAAAGTTGCCAAATATAACTATTTCATAGCAATATGTAGTACCATGAATTTACCTGAAGCTGGTATTCACAGACTGAGCTCCAATCCCTTAATTTTTTTTGTTTTTCAATGTAAAAAAAATCTTAAAATTTTCTGAAATTAATTACTTTATGGTTTGTGCATTATACACAGTGGCAATTACATGGGAATACAGAAAAATCTAATGATCATTAAACACATTATTTCCACCTTATGTTAAAGCATTTCCTACAAGATAATCAGATCACTTATCGTATCTTCCTGTTAAGAATTTGAAGTTATCATCAATTTCTTTTCTGTTGTAAATACAACGACATTTGCTTCTCTTAATAAGATTTGTTTATAGTTAAGCATAAAGCTACACAATGGGATATCTATACTCTGCCCACCATGGGTATCAAAACCCGGTTTCTAGAGTTGTAAGTCCGCAGATATACCGCTGTGCCAGTGGGGGGCTAATAAGATTGGACAAAACTGAATTTGAAAATTGGGGTACAGGCAGAATTTATGATGGAAAAACTACAAAAATGAGTACATTCTTGCCAGATTAGTACGTCTCAGTACTCCTACTTTTGCAAAACATACGAAAAATATGTACCTAAATGAATATAGACTTTATTCTCCACTTGGCTTGAATAACTCAAGTAATGAGCACACACAAAATGAAATACTTACTGGCATGTATTCCCAAATACACCTTTTTTTTCTGCTTAACAGCACAGATAAAATAAGTAATTATTCCACTAATTTTGAAGTTTGTTTTAAGAGTTCTCGGGTCACAAGTGCACATAAATACTTTCTTGCTAAAAACGTTAATATATTGTTTGTAATGATACATAAACTACTACAAATAATAAAAACATTCTTAGATATTTTGTAATAGTCCTTTAATAATCTTCCTGTTAAACCTTTTTTCTGCTTAACATCATCCACTAAATGGGCACCTTAAATACTGTTTTTCAAATTAAAATTTTCTTCTAAACATAAACCTTACTATAAAATGCTTGATTTAAAAAATAAAATACACAAAAAACGTTATGTTTTTTCATCAATTAACCCATAATAGAGCTTATAAATATCAACTGTTATGCCTAACAATCCCCTTGAATGAAACTGACACTTAACTGATCATCCGATACATATTATTATATTTGTAAATACCTTGCTAAAACAAGTTTCAAGTCTGTAGTTCTACACTGATTTTTGAATCTTTAAAAGCGAAGAGAAAATTTGTGATGTTTGATGTCAATAGTTTTGTAAAATGCCAACATACTATACAGAAAATCCATTTTAATGAACATGTTCTGTTAAGAATTCTGCATTGTAATCAGCATTTTATTTAAACATTTAAAATAGAAACATTACCATTCTAGATGATGATCCTTAGATGATGCTGTGGCTTGCAGAACAATGAAATGCCTATAAAAAAAAGGTATATACATTGTTTTCAACAACAGAACAAGCAATAAGTGTTATGTTTTCAAACTTTAACAAGACAATGATAAGTTTACATTTGTTAGCATGTTCTGCAAAAAAGAATTGTTAAACTTGGATTCCTGTTTGATTCATGGAATTAGAATAAACAGATTTTAATCAGTTTCTTATAGGAGGGTTCTCTGTAAGATAGTAATATGTTTAGGCCCACTATTAAAGTTTCATTCTGACTGTATACGGCTAAATATTTTACACTAAATGGTAGCTATTTTTAAAAATAATTTGCATTTCAAAAATTTCTTGGGAAACAGACTTATGAAAATTTCTCTAATAACCTAAAATAATGTCAATCTGCCACATCTATAGTTGAGAATCAATTTCATCATTAAAACAAATCTTACAATTAGTTTCAAATTTAAAAGTTTAACTTAAATTTTATAATAATGTTTTATTTTAGTTGGTATAGACATATTACATTTAGCCATTGAATATTGTACCTTTTTCTGTACTAACAGAGAGAGGAGAATAAATTTGGCTCATTAACAAATAAAAAAAAAATGGATGAAACAGTTCTTTACTTTCAGAACAAAACAAATAAATATAAATACAAATATCCAAAACTTTTGTATTTTCAAAACATAAACCTTTACTCATTCTAGTTCACTTTTGGTAACTGAATATTTAAATTGCAAAAGTGCTTAGGTTGACAGATGTTTTAAACAGCGATAAACTAACCGCATATTATTTTGGTTGTATTCCTATCTCAAAGAATGTACGAAGAATGAAAAGTAGCTATACTCACACTTGTGAACTGATTTGAAAACATTAATACAAAGTCAAAGGCAATTTTTAATGTTTAGTTTATTTGAGTAAATATGTTTGCATGTCTGATTAACACCTTAATTTTTTTTACCTCCTTTACAGTTTGATGCTAGCTTTCTTCTGTCTGTTTGAGCAATTCTTCAACTAAAATAAGATATTTATTCCCTCACTTCTTTAAGATAATTTTAATGGAATTCAGTTTTTTTACAATCAAAGTGAAAAATTACAAAACTTGTTTGTTTATTGTTACTTTTTAAAAGTAAAATGTTTTCAGAGTATTTAGTTTTCTTGAAATCTGACCAGATTTTAGCTATTCATGCTTTATAAAATGATGCTTACCTATATTTAAGGAAAAAATTTGAAGGCTCAAATAGTTTTGTCCATTCTGCTTTTCCAAACATAATGTCATCTGTTATTGCCAAACCTAGAATAGAAACACAACATGTGGTTCATTTAATATTTATGCAAATTTAAATGTTCTAAATCTGAAAAAAGGATAACAAATTGTATGTATAAACCTTTTAGTTAAATCAAAAAGATATTTTACTTAATTGCAAGTAAGTCAACAATAATAAATGTAGTCAAAACCTTCTCATACCACTAGTTTTTTAAAATCAGCCACACAATTGCAAACCTTCTTCATTGGTCGTGATTAGCACAGTGGAAAGATTCGCTGTGTGGTGACAGATAACCATTTTTTATATATTGTAATAAATTTAAAAAAGCCTTATTACAACTTCCTAATCAACTATACTAAAAAAAAAACATGTAGAATCACATAATAAACTCTAGATAAAATAAGACTTGATAACTTGAACCATTTTCATAAGAAACTTCTTGCTTTTTAAAGGAAGATCCCCCTTCCAAAACAACTAGAATTATCATATTTTTTAAAAAAAGTGACTGAGTTTTAGTTATGTCAATATTGTCTAAACGTTAACATGTGTCTTTTGTTGACCTCAGCTTAGCATGCTCTAGAAGCTTACCCAGTTCCTATAGGTTTGCTAGTTGATGTAATCACACGTATGCATGTATGTTTGTGTGTATAGACAGGTCTGTGGAGAGACAGTGTATACAAGACTTCTGCAGTTTCAGGTTATTTAACTTAACTTTCGAATCTTATTCTTTTTTCAAATATCTATTGATATACAGTTTTCTTTTTAACTTTTATCTTATGCATACAAGAACAACTTCATTTAAAAGAAGTGGAGAGAAAATCATATATTTTTTTTTACATGAACTGGGTTGATTAATTTAAGTACACTCCACCAACAAGAGTCATAGTAATGTTTTTTTTATGTTATTTTATCATCAGCTACTGTTTTTAATAGACCCAAGGGTTTTATCAGTATTCTAAAATAAATTTATTAGTACCAGTACATTTAGTTTCAGCTTAACATAGATTGTCATGGAAATTATGAAATTGCACAGGTATCCATTACATGGAGCTTACATGGTGTATCTTTGTATAAAAGTATTTTAGATCCACATTAAAATACAAATGGTGCAAGTTACACTCATGATCACATATCTGGATGCAATTGCTTTAAAATTAAAAGATTTCAAAAGTGGCCTGTATCTACAAGTTACACATACTAGTATTAAAAATCATGAAATTATCAACAATTGTTGCTCTTTTGAATAAATGATTGCATTTGGTCATATGTTTTTCTAAGATTCAGAAGACCATTTGGTTGAAGTAGCTTGCTTCTGTTGTTACAGTATTCACAACTTCTCAATCGTCCACTGTACTAGTTTAAATCCTATGCCTAAATCTTTAATTCTTTTACAGTTATAATAGATATCCATTGAATGATGAAGATCAGTTTTATAGAGAAACTAATGAGGATGTATTGGAACACGAAAAGACAAGTAATGAAAATATAGAGGAAATGGAAGATGTGCTACTTTGGGCTAATAATTAGATTTGAGGGAAGGTTGAGAGAGATTCTAATGGGTAAAAATTGAAGAAAGAAGAGCAAAAGGTAGGTAGAGACTTGTTTGGTTCAGTGACATTACAAAATAAATATGATATGAGAAGACAATCAGTAAAGTTGAAGAAGAGAAACTAATGGAAAACCATAGTTGTCAACTTTCAGAATTTTCATTGATTGATTGATTATAAGTATTCAATGCATTCCCATTTTATTAAATTATTAAACATTACAGCTACACTAAGTCGTAACCTTCTTTATTTACCTTGCTTGAATTCATCTTGCATCACTTCCTTTGTTGAGCTTGAAACGTTAAAGGTTGAATTCTGCTGAGGATACGCTGGAGTGATGATGGGCATGAGATGAAAACGGTCTGCTACATTTATCTAAGTAAATACAAATGTAATTTATTTTAGAACAAGGTTATGTCACAAAATATTCTTGTTTTTTCTCCTAAGTCTCAAGTTCTGTCAAAAACTGCAAGAAAAATCTCCAAACTAAGCCAGTGGTTTATGATCAAAAACTTCATATTTCAACATCATAAGTCAGTGATTTTCCTTCTTTACTTACTGAAATATTTGACTAATGGTAAAACAAATTCTGATGCCAACTAAAACATTTTGATTCACCTTTCACTAGAACAATAAGAATAGCTGAGATGTAATGTAGCTAATGAGGAAACTGAAAATAATAAAACATGTACATTTAAACATAAATTATTATAAAATTGACAATTCAGTACCATAAATTATTTCAATATTGTAAATACAAGAAATTTTTAAGACTTCATAAAAAAACAAAAAACATATAACTTACTGACTACCACTAAGTAATCTGTCACTGAATTGGGTTATAAAAAATTCAGGTTCTCTACAAACCTAATATATCTAGACTGCAATTATTGTATATTTTAAAGTAATGATAATAACAAAAACCAATTCTGATTAAATAGATCAAAGAATTTGTTTAAACAAATCTACAATAACTTAAAAACTCAAAACATACCCTAGGATCCCATACTACAAAACCTAGTTTATTTTCTTCAGGTTGCTTCAGTAACACTGGATTTGGCCACGGCCTGTAAAAGAATTACAACACAAGACTTATTGGTGTAATTGTATGGTGTAATAGCTGACTGAATATGCATTTTTTCTTCAACTTCAGAACCTGTAAACTAATGTTAAAAAACATCATTACTTGCCCTGATAATTTAATATTATAAAATGTTCTTGCATGTAGCATCACTACCTTATATGAATTGCAGAGCAAAGACCAAGCCTGGCTGGGCACATGCCTAAGCAAGCAATAACACATTTTCAACCTATAATAAAACTAAAGTGCACAAAAATGAGTTTGTTGCAGTGAGTAGGGGTTGTGTAAAGCATGAAAATGGGGAAAAATAATCAGTGAGCAGACAGAATAATGCATTAGTAAAAAATTAAACATATCGTATAATGTTTAAGGTTAAATACTTCACATGCACAGATAGGAAAAGTTGGCTAGTATTTTATAAACTAGTGTCATTTTGATGTAAGTATACACACAATGCAATGCCAGAACATTATATATTTCTTTGACCACAGACATGGGCAGGTTCTCATACATAAAGAGAGACTAGACCATTTGTTTGTTCAGTGATAAGCATAAAGCTAATGGGTTCTTGAGCTCTGCCCAGTGCAGGTATCAAAACCCAATTTGTAGTGTCAAAAGCCCTTACAGTTACCACTGAGGGAGGGGGGGCAGACCAAAATGCTGTCTGCAATGTAAGCATGCCCCTGGTTGTGCTTAGACAACTTTAAAGACTTGTATATCCCACCATCTTCTATCAAAAATACATTACTGATTAGCTTTGGTTTACATCACATTTAAGACAAACAGCCCTGTAACAGTATATATATATATATATATATATCAGGATAATATTATCTTCCAAGTCAAACCGTAAATGAAAGAAATACAAAATCTCTGGGTAAGTTAGAATAATTTATATAAATGTTATTTTTCTTCTTCCTGTGCTCTATAAAATAAATGACAAAATTCAAAGAGCATATGCAGTACTAATATTATCCAAATGAGACCAAAGCATTTTATATACTTATTTTCCCATGCCAAGATGAGCAAGATGATAGCAATAATCTAATGATTTAAAGAAACAAGTGGTGGTGGGTCTGTTATATAAAGTGTAAATTATATAATTGAATTTACAAATGTATCCATTACATGGTGAATCTTTGTACAAAAATAATTTTATATCCACATTAAAGTATAAATTGTGCAAGTTAACATTCATGAATCACATATTTGGATGCAGTTGTTTTAAAATTAAAAGATTTCAAAAGTGGCCTGTATCTAAAAATTGCACATACTAGTTTTCTTTAATTCTCTCACCCCAGGTATCCTTTACTGTGCATGACACAAGATTTTAGCGTCTTACATTTTATTAAACTACTTTGTTTGTTATACCAACTAGTATAGCATAAAATCTTAGCCAATAATCCATATTTTAATAGTATACAAGGTTTAAGTTCTTAATTTTATAAGGCAATATTTTAAAAAATCCTGAATTTCCGCTAGTGTGACACATTTTCTCTAAGTATCTTCTCATCCCCCTCCCCCCAGAAACTATGAAATTAAATGTAAATTACTCACTACAAAATCGTCATTGCTCAGACAAACCACAAATTTTATAGCCTTCAATTTTGTTTGTTTACAAAGCTATCAAATAAAAAATCAGACCCCTCCTGCCACAGCAATCTATCACATCCTGTCTTTCAGGATTTGTTAATAGTTCTCTCTTACGTTTAATTATATATTACC